GGGGGGGCTACAGTCTACAATGAAAGAGGAAGTAGAAGAAGAACCGAAGCAGCCGTCAGTCAGCTGCAGTAGAAAACATACATGAAAAAGGACAGAAACAATGAAAAATAAGTGCAATTGGTTTCTCTGTCGCCACAAACCCGATTAAAAAAACCCAGGAGTGGAGGAAGACGCCCCCAGCCTCGGACCGGTGCCGATCTGAGGGTCTGCACACTCCCAAGAACAGGCAGCAACACGGTGGCTCAGGAGTCTCCAGTCAACATATGTACAGGACAGGTGAGTCGGATCCGTCAGAACCACGGCGTCTCACCTACAGCTGGATCAGAACCAGAGCGTCTCACCCACAGCTGGATCAGAACCGTGGCAGCAGGAGGTGAGACGCGGCGCAGGAACGGACCTCCTCCACATTTACATCTGCAGGATCAGTATTTTTTTCAAGTTTTTCAAGAGCACCAGCTACAAGCAGAGTCCGATCGGTTCCTCTGAAAACGAAAAGAAAAACGGCTCCACTGGACGACGAGCAGCAGCCACCGATCGATCAACCCACCGATCGATCAACCGACTGATCGATCAATCGACTGATCGATCAACCGACTGATCGCTCAGTCGGTTGGTCTGTAAAATGGTGAGAAGATGTTCAGTTCACTGTCACAGAGGAGGAAAGAAGTCAGAAAATATTTCCCATTCAGAGGATTCAGACCGTTGGCCGCAGCTTAACAGTCGACAACTGATCGACTAATCAATTAATCGATTGATCGCTGCAGCGCCGCTGGTGTCTGTGATAGTTGGAAGAAGTTTGGAGCTGAGCTGACCAACTTTAAAATGCATTCTTCCCAAACAGTCGAGCTGCTGCTTGTTGTCTCGATCAATCGATCAGCTGTTGGATCAATGATCTGTCAGAAAACACCGACATCTAAGAAATACCGTCAGACGGTTTGGACTTCATCAAAACAGCGGCGATACGCTATCAGTCGAAAACAAACCGATCGATCAGTTGATCGCCGCAGCTCTGTGGGGGTTTGTCAGAGTCGCTGATACTGAGCCGGACGTCGTCGGGCTGCAACCGTCGATAACATCGATCGTCTATTAATGTCTGAACGGTGAAAGATGGCAGTTCGTGTTTCCCAAAGCTCACGAGAACATTCTGTCATCAGAGGACTGAACAACAAACAAACGATTCATCGATCAACAGCTGAAAACTAATCAATCAGTTGACTGACTGTTGCAGCTCTGATTGGTCGCTAACGAGGAGACGTCAGCTGATCGTTTCCTTGTCAATTCATCTGCTGATTATTTCTCAATCAATCGGTTTGTAGTTTATAAACTGTCAACGAGGAGGGAAAAAACTTCAAATATTTACATTAAAGAAGCTACAATTTTGACTTTTATCTTCTTAAAAAATATAAAAACTGATTAATTGATCATCAACAGCTGGTGATGAACTAAACAGTTGAGAACTAATCGATTCATTTTTAGACCAGTTTCATAATAAAGGTTGGGGCTGCGACGGCCCACTACCACGCTCATCATCAGAACCGATTCGTTGTTTGGTTTAGGAAGTGTGAAAATGGTAAAAAAAGATGTTGGTCAGTGTGTCCACAAAAGATACTCAGACAGTCAACCAGTAACCAGTAACCAGTAACCAGTAACCAGTGAGTCATGAAGCCAGCCGCTGACCACCAGTCCACTGGTCGCTGACGCTCTGAGCCACAGATGAAGGCAGCTCCTGGAGATGACGCCGGGTTTTAAGCAGTAGAAAGTAGATGAAGCTTGGTTCTGTTGTACCTTTAGAAGCGAGTCGACTCCTCGCAGGCGCTGAATGTGTCCCGGTTCAGTGAAACACAAGCAGACAATCAAAACGCAGCATGAATGCACTGAAAGCACCAAACGCTTGCTGTGAACACATCCTATTTGGTAAAAGGCACAGTAGTCCAACCCAAAGATCTCACTTCCAACACAAACCATCAACAAAACAGCATCTTCCCAACCGCCTCAACAAAAGTGTGGGCCGAGCCATGTGAGCGCACGGCCGGCGATAATCAGCTGCCTAATAAATAAATACAAACAATAAATAGATGCAGTGTCACATCAACACATGAATAAATTAACGGTGGGACTCGAGAGTCGAATGTCTGAGTGGTCCGTCGTCCGCCCTCGGGCTGGTCTTTAAAGTCTTCCTCGGATGTTCCTGACGCTGGTGGGCGGTCCGTCGGATCCAAAGTCACATGATGATGTCACTTCCTCTCGATGCCGCCGCCCAAACGATTCTCGGATTACATTCGTGAGTTGTGACATCACTTTCCCACCGATGACTCCGACACGCCACACGTAGTCGTCACGTCACTCGCTACGAGATCTGTTTTCTGTGCGAGCCAGAGGTCCTATCTACAGGTGAATGTAAACATGTCTCGTGTCCTAAAGGCCAACTCGTGCTCTCCGAGTCCGCAAAGGTCTCTCACAGTCAGACCGGTGCTGGAGAACGGCCCGACTGCACCTCGTCAGACAAAAGGGTTTCTGAGGCGGAGCTCAGCCCAGGATGTAGCAACAGTGCCCCTGAAAAAGGGATGATTTTAGTGCGACATTTGCATCCAGGATAAAGCAGCTAATTTACCTGAAAGCACGAAACAGAACTGCCTTTCAGTTGGTAGGTTGTTGTTTCCTGTAGTAACGGCAGCGCTCATCACTCATCATCAGCACATCTATAACTGAAGCAGTCTGCTGGACTTCAGAGGTGCTTCTGGTTCTAAAATCTCCAGATATCTCGTGCTATGTCTGAACACAAATCACGAGGCCATTTGAAAAGTTGAAGCTTTGTGCGTGTCCCAGATACAGGACTCCCTCCCAGGACAGAACAACGTACTGACTCCAGGGCAGGTGCTCCTCCAACGCCGCTCTATGGTCGTCTAAAGCCGTCCAGTAGCACATTTCTCCTAACTATGCCTTGAACAACGTAATAATTACCATTTAGGTTAACACAACAAACCTTACGTGTTCTGTTTTCTACAAAAAACTGAACATACGTCTAGGAGCTGCTGTTTTGGGTCGTTTTGGTCGAAGTTAATGTGGCGGCAGAAGCTGCTGGTTCCTGCATTGCAACGGAAACATAAATGCTGGAAGGGCCAAGAAAGGCCCAGTGACATGATGCTACAGTCAGTCTGTTGCTACATCCTGTGACAGTCACGGCCGCTCAGCAGCATCCGGCCCGAGTGGCTTTAGATGTGGGATATGAGGCGAGAGCGACCGATGCGGACCTGCTGTAGGACAAACCAAGAGTTGGCCTTGAGACTAGAATCAGCTCAGTCTAGTTTCACTCTCAGGATTGAATCGTAACTGGAGTTGCCTTTCACAATAAACATCAGAAGCTTTCATTCTCAGTATTGACATCAGTGTTTTTCTATTTCAGAGTCCTTCCAGTTCAATGAAACACCTCTGAATCTAGTGATTGCTTTCATGCTGAGGAGGAACTTTGATTCTCTCCTCCAACTTCTTCACAATCTCTCCTATTGGTCTGTCCTCCTGTAACCTGTATGTTCCTTCAAGTGTTTTTTATCTTTCCCCTTCAACCAAACCACCATCTTTGTGCAGATATTTAGATTATTATGTAGTCGTGGTAGGTTTAATTTAATGTCATCCTGTCGTCTGAACTAACTGTTTGATCCATTATTTGATCTCGGTATCTACCACCCACAACTCTTCCGTCTTCTTCTTCTTTTCCTTAATGCTTGTATGATCACAGGCCTTCAGCCTCTTCTTCCCGTCACAGCAGCAGCGTTCAGCCCGGCGGTGGATCGGAGTCGGGCTGCCGGCTCTTCAGTGCATCAGGTCTCTACGGTGGTGGGACAGGCCCGGGGCAAAGGCGTCAGTGTGGCGTGGAGAGGAGGCTGGCTTTCGCCCTGACACGTCTCCGCGGTCTCGCTCTGTTCTGCAGCAACAGGCTGGCTTTGGCACCGGAGTGGCTTCTTCAGGTTTTTGGGGTGCTTGCGGGGCGTGGTCGAGGAGACGGAGCTGTCCTGCGTGGCCGGACTGCCCCTCCTGCCGGCCGTCAGTTCGCTGCTACCCGCCACCGCCGCCGCGCCCTCGTGGGGGACCTTTCGCGGGGACAGAATCGGGGCGACGTGCACCCAAGTCAGGCTGGGCTCGGAGCTGTGGCCTGCTTTGTAGTCGGGCAGTTTGCCTGCTTCCTCGCCGTCACTGTCTTTTCCCTTTGAGTCGTCGGTGAGCTGGCTGTGCTCGGCAACATCTGGGGAATTCTGTTTTGCATCAGATGCCGGCGATGGAGACGGAGGAGGGCCGTCCCCCTCGTCCTGATCCAGCCTCTTCTCTTGTGCGTTGATTCGAGGGCACTTGAGAAGGACGGGCGACGGCGAGGTGGAGTCCGTACCCGTCCAGCTGAGTCTGCGCTTCTGCAAAACCAACAGCGCAGGAAATCATCAGTGAATGTGAAGTTCAGTTTGAGGTGGAGGCAAGTGAACTCCTGCACACCTGAGAGCGGCCTCACCTTGACGGGAATGTGCAGCTGATCCCGGTGCTTGTGCGGCGGCGTGGAGTTGGACGTGTCCTGCAGGGAGCGGGCTGGAGACATGGCCACGCTGGAGGCCGCAGACACCGGCTGAACGGGGATGTGAGGAAACCAGAGCTTCAGCATCATCTCCACCTGCAGGAGCGTGTTCAGGTACTTCTCCCTGGGGAGGAGGAGGAGGAGGAGGAGGTTACAGACCTCTGGACACTCATCAACATCCTGCACACAGAACTCGCTGAAGTTTTTCTGCTCTGCTGGTGAACGCTGAAACTCGACCTTCCCCCGGGACTGCTCAATAAAACATGCAACAGGAGGCTTGAAACGTAAGAGCGCCTCGCTGTTTAATAATCATTTACAGTCTCAGCTCGGACGTCGAGCAGCGCCGGGAAGACTCGACTGAAACCAGGACGGGGATGAGGGGCTAAAAGCTAAACACTGTGATGATCTGGCATTTCTCTTCTGCCCCAAAAAATAAACATTAAAAGGATTTAATGATTTTTGCTGCAGCTTCTACCAAAGACGTACGTTCAGTCTGGAGAAGCTGCCTGGTTGGCTGTGCTTGTCTGCAGCAGCACCACGCTTCATTTAACCCTCTAGACACCTTATCTTTTAATTATTATTTACCAGAGCTGAAAACTGTGAAAACTGAACGAAGCCACATTTTCCAACTTTCTGATGCTTTGCTGAGTTTTTCCAGAACCAGATTCTGTAAAAACTCATAGTTCTGCGCTGCCTGTTGTGAAGGAGAAGACATCGACGGCTCAGATGAACTGCAGGCAGTGTAGAATAAGTAATTAGGATTAATTTAACTTTCCCTTTCTTTATTTCCTTCGTTCTAACTGAGTCCTGCTGACAGAGGACTTCTCCTTCATGTGGTTCTGGTTCCTCAGAGCTGCAGGACTGTATGTTGGAACATGGACCTGAGTGAAGGACCAGGACCAGAAGCTGCTGCTGCTGCGGTTCAGAGGGTTAAAGCGGTTTGTTGTGGTGTATTTGTGGCTCCTGCACTTTGCTGTATTGTGGTTATATTCAGTGAACTGTGGGCTCTGGTCGGGACAATGTGATGGCATCTTACCCGCTGTTGGGTCTCTGTAAAACCCCCACAATCCTCTGGATTCGATCCATGGCCACGCTCTGCTGGAAACTACTCAAACCTGTCGGTCAAAAACATAATCCTCCAGTCAGCATTTACAGCGAGCGGCTGCACATGTGGCCTCTCTCTCAGACACACTCTCACTCATGCTGTGGGTAACGGTGCCGAGCCGGTGAGTCAGACGGTCGCTGCTCGCATCGACGCCGCAGCCCACTCACATCATGGAAACCTGCGTTCAGCAGCTACAACTCCAGTCTGCACACATGCACGCCCGGAGGCGGCGGCGTAAAGATGCTTACCGCGGTCGAATCGGCCTCTCTTCAGTCCATTCAGCAGCTCCAGCAGCGGCCGAACAAAACCCTGCAGCTCAGCACACTGACAGAGGAGAAGCAGAGAAGATGGATTAGCGCTCAGGCTGCTGTCTGAAGCAGTCTGCTGGGCTTCCCTCTGCACTAACGCTGCTGCCAGCCGCCGCTCAGCTCTCTGGCCGGCTGTCTGTCCACACAAGTGTCACGCACATTTGAAGGAAACTTTTGAAATGACCCAAAAGAGTAAAAACAAACCACAAAAAGCAAACGAGTGACAAAAACTGGGCTTTGAATTGTCGTCAGAAGGGGGCGCTGTGAGACACGTTAGCTGGAATAAACGGAGTAGAAGAAGCTGGAAACAAAACCAGTTGTTTGCTGAGAAAAATGAGACTTTGGAGAGAGGAAGCTGTAAAAGCTTTAATTCTTCTTTCATCTCAAAAGAAACGAGAACTTTAGAAAAGACAAGAGTCACGAAGGTTCTGTAGAAGGTCAGAAACCACCAGAGGTGTCCAGAGGTTCCTGTAGGACGGTCTGACGCCACCTCATTGTCACTATTGCTCTGCTACAGGACCAGCACACTCATATTTGCATGTCTTTGAACCCATCAGTCGGTGAGGTGGAGCTTGGTTGGTTCTGGAGAACGGTCGGGCTGCACCTCACTGACATTCAGCGACGGGGACAAATAAACAACAGAACAACAGCGGTCAGGGTGGCCGGCTGCTGCTCGCAGGTTTCTACTGTGGCTTCCACACAGAGAAAGTGGACGTGGAGGAGATCCCTGATACCAGAAGTCTGCATCTGGTGGGTCAGACTGGGTTCTTTTCCAACATGACACTTCAAAATGTGGCTAAACAATGTCCCTGATCGACCTCATTCTGCGTGGACTTGGTCTCACACACCCAGACCGAGCGGCCCAGTGCTGTGTCGGTTCTGGAGGACCCGCTCATCACATCCAACTCAAACAAACTGTGCAGGCTGTTGTTGTACGAGGAGGTTTCATACTCCAGGTTTACATCTGGAGGTACACATCCTTCTTATGTGGTACTTCAGAATGTGGACCGGTTCCTGTCTTATATATGTGGACCAACATTCACAACAGTGTGACGGTTCTGGAGGACGGTCTGACTGAGAGTAACCTTTGTGGTGTGTAGCTGCTGCTGCAGCTTTCTGATGGTTTCATAACCACGTCTACAGCTGCTGCTTCACGCTAACTTCCTCTTAACAACACTTTTATTACCTTCTGAGCAAACAGCAGATCTCCCTGTGACTTGGACGCCTGTCCCGTCTGGTCCGTCTCGCCGACCCGAGCCGCCCTGTCGTCCGACCGGTACGCCTCCTCCTCTTCCTCCTTGTCAGTGAAGCCGTCGCAGGTCCACTGCGACCCGGGACTCTCGGCCCCGCCGGCCGCCGCCCCGCCCGCCTCACCCATGATGATGGAGGACGAGCTGTCGGTCAGGAAGACGTCGGCGTCGTCCTCGGCCTGCTCCGAGTCGCTGAGCAGGAGGCTGTCGCTGGAGCTCAGGGAGTCGAAGGAGGGCTGGGACGAGGTGCTGCCCTGGGACTGCATCGCTGCCGGGCACGGGGTCACGTCACAGCAGGTCCACGCTGGAACAACACCAGGAGTTGGACAGGAAGTGAGAGGTGCAGAAACAACACTCCATTTTCCCATCCCTCAACCCAAAATAATAACCCCTGTTACTCAAAATGGAGGGTATAGCAGTGCCCTAGTTAGCATGGTGCAGAGTGGGACTGGGGGCAGGCAGCAGGCACACAATGCGAGTGCATGTCTGGCTCCCATTGAGGAGATGGGAGACTGGAGGAGAGTAAGTGAGGGGGGATGGGAGCTGGTGAGTAGTGGAATCAGAACAGAGTCTGTGCCTCCGGTGCTCGCTGTGGCCCCTCCTCTCCTCGTCTCGCTCTCCATCCCCCCTTTGGATTCACAAACCTCCTGCTTCCTGCGCTCGTCTCCATCTCTGCCTTCAGCTCATCCTGTTCGTCATGCACAGAACCTCTCCTCTCCTCTACAGCGCACTGTGGCCATGCGCTCTGATCCAGCTCATCAGCATGAGGCGCATTTATGGAGCAGAACAAACACTGCTTTGTCATCCACGCTGTTGACACGCACGAACACCGCCAGCACACACTCGGAGCGCCTTTCGCTCTGTTTTCCTGATTTTTTGGTGCGCACGCCCTTCCTGCTCTGCTGCTGGAGGTGGGACGGTGCGCGTGTTGGCACAGCCCGTCCAGGTAGGACCATGAGGCTGCGACTCAGGTGTTGGCTGCGCGCACCACGATGCCAGCCAATCACGCAAAATATCACAACCCAGTGTGGGTGGCATGACAACAGGGCAGCTCCGGCTCCGTCCCGATCCCCGCAGCGCTCCAGCGGCATCACATGTTCTGAGTTTGACCAGAACACAACCAGAACCAGCCTTTAGAGGCTTTAGGCACCGGACAGGACGTTCCTCCGGGCCAGCCCGACAACTTCCACAAACCACAAAACATCAAAATCAGCAGCACTCACCTTCGCTAGCGTCAGATACAAACAGCAGCTTCCAATAGGGCTCGGTACCGGTACCGGCTCTGGTCCCGCGGGTCCGTCAGAGAGTGGGCGGCTGCAGCAGCACCGGACCAGCCTCAGCTCTGCAGCGGCCGGCCGTTCATCGCTCTGAGCCTCCGCCGCTTCTTTCTCTCGCCAGTTTACGAGCGTCAACATGTGCGCGGATCCACGTGCCCACGTTTTGCGCGCATCCCATTGGCTGTCGTCCCGGCAGCGGCGCGCGCCATTGGCTGCTGCGTCCAGCCAGTGGAGGCTTTCCGCGGCGCTGATTGGACGGCGGCCCCGGCACTCACGGCCCCGCCCACTCATGTGTCGCTCGTGTGCGTGGATCCGGGCACGGTCGCGCTACTACGGAGGGGCGCGGGTGTAAACACACGCACGTGCGCACACACATTCTCGCGCACGCGCGCCACCGGCCCGAGAGATGCACAATATGTTCTATGCATCGGACGCACGCACGCGCGCAGAGCCGCCCACTCCACGCAAAAACACAAACAGGCCGAGGACGAGCAGCCTTATGCAACTGAGGCTCCGCAGTCCGGAGGAGGAGGTTCTGGTCCACAAGGTTCGGTTTAAAGTGTCACATCCAAGAATGAAGGAAATCCGACACGGAACCACAAAACCCAGACACAAGACCACAGAGCCGAGTCAGAACCACAGGATGGAGGAACAAGAGACAGAAAAGTACACAAACTGGACCCAGAGTGGAGCTCAGAGTGAGACGGAACATGAACAGAACAAAATGAGAAAAAAAACACGACACCAGACACAAAACAAGAAAATGAGACAAAAAAATGACACGACTGACGAGGACTAAAACAGACGAGACACAAACGACCAGGATGAGAGAAAACGACACAACAAGAGAGACAGAGCGACAAACTCAACACAACACGACACAAACGACAAACGACACACGAAATGATCCAGAAGCACAACGTCCTCAGTCGAAGGATGTCGTCGTCATGATACGAGACCTCTGACCTCCAGTGGAGCTCACCTGTAGAGCATCACCTGGGCAGACCTGGGATGGAGCCCCACACTGATGGGTCAGATCACTGTGGAGGTGACTGTGTGGTCGTCCCTGACGAGGGCAGCCACACTAACGACACCGTCTGTGGATCGTTCCACGACTCAGAGGTTCTCATCTGGTGCTGATGGGTTGAGATGTTTCCTATTTCCAGGACGCTGGTTGGGGCTGGAGGCCAACAGGTTCAGATGACCAGCAGGTCTTTAAAGCAGCTTTAGTTCAGACTGATCCGTCTCCAGGAGCAGCTCCTGCAGTTTCCCCGTCCGCAGCGCTGCACACCTTCACAAACATCTCCAGGTATACGTCTTTTATTCCAACATAATTCTCTCTGTTCGTACGTCAGCGGTTCGTTCTGCTGCTTCAGGTTTCTCCTGCAGTTTCCCTCTGTGTGTGTTCTGTTACAACAACGAGCATCACGACCCAAAGACAAACACACGTTCAGACCTGAAGAACTGGATTCACAGTTGGAATCAGGAGAACCGAAACACTTATGGAGGCACAACGTGCACGGCATTCTGCTGAAGGTTCAAGTCAGGAGGACACTCACAGCTTCCAGATCCAGGATTCACCGCTAGAGCTCAGAAAACAGCTGATTGAGTTCATAAAACGATATCTGTGTGTTTCAGGTGTTTTATTTCAAGAACAGAAGGAGTACAGTGACAGGAGTGACATGTCCTCCCTTCTCCAGTCAACCCGCCCTGAACCCAGCCTGCCCTCTTACTCTACAGCTGAGACGATGAAAACAGTCAGAAAAGCAAATGACTGTGTCGCTGCACACAGGTACAGACACTCAAACATCATGTGGACGTCTGACCCACAGAATGCTGGAAAAAAGAAAGAAAAATTTAAGCGAGTCAGATACATAAATAAAATACATTTTAAAAAATTATATATATAAAACAACCATACATACAAAAAAATAAATAAAGTCAGTAAAATAAGAATAGGCAGGTCAGTAGATGTGGTGCATTAGCAGGAAGTGGACAGACAGGCGTACACACACACACACACATTATAAAAGGATATTGTTGTGTTCTGTGGCTGTGTTCCTACATGAAGGGTCACGTCCAGGATCTTCAGCCATCGGTGCAGCTACAGCCTGTAAACATGCAGATGTGACTTTAAGACATATTAATGTTCAGGTGAAGGTCGACGCCACACATCAGCGTCCAGGCTGTGATTTACAGCAGAGCAGCGTGTAAACACGGATCCATAATCTGATGGGATGTTTTCATCTGGTTCGTGTCATTCACATGTGTTTCTTCATGAAGGTCTCCGTGTTGATGATCTACAGCCTCCCCCTCAGCCTCAGCTCCATGAACCCACCGACCCTGCCGTGTAACACACACACACACACACACACACACACACACACACTCATCATCTGTCACACGCTCATCACATGCATGTTTTCTCTGTTGCGGTTATTGTGTGGGTATTTTTAGTTGTGAAACGTCCTTGTGTGAGCTGAAAGCCTGGCATGTTGCAGCGCTGCTCCCCTCCCCCGCCTCAACATACAACGCACACATGAACCCACTGACCCACTCTCCTCACAACACACCACCGTGTCCTCATTTGACTGACAACACTCGTGTTTGCGAGCTGCTTGTGGACCCGGCGCCGGTGAGCGCCACTCCTCTTATTGTCCGGCACAAAGCAGGTGAGTCTCCAGGTGACAGCGATGTGAAGGATCGGCTGCCGTCGGTGGACGTACGTGACACGGCTCAGGTCCTCCAACCCCCCGCTGCATTCCTCTGCAGCACATGAACCCGCTGAACCTGCTGCGAGTTCACTGGAGACCACCCCCATCATTTCCATCACTCCATCCCCCAAGCCCCTTCCCCCACCTGGCTCCTCTGTTTTTACTCCCCCATCCTCCTCTCGTTATCCTGCCTCGTATTGACATGCTTGAGAATCCAGCCTAAGCCTGCAAATGCAGAGTTCAAGTGGGTCAGAGTGCAAACTGCAGCAGCCCGGTCCCACCCTGTGGAAACCGGAGCCTTCGCCAACCAGGGAAACGTGAAAACATGGAATAAAACCCGTTGCACTGCCGTTTAAAGCTGCACCGAGATCACTTCAGCAATCACACGACGACAATCTGACACTGAACGACAAAATCAGCCACAAAGCGACACAAACGGGCGTCAAAACCAAACAAACGAAACACACAAGGACAAAACATGGGCTGAACACAAACGAAACACAACATGTACATGAGAAAAACACAAAAAGAGACACAAATGACAGAAACACGACGACGCAGCAGTCGGAACATGAAGTGATAAAAAAGACCAAATCTGAAGAAACAACACAAGTGAGACAGAAGATATGAGATTGTGAAGAAACTGAACAACACGACAGAATGATGTGACTTACCGGCACACAGGGTCTATAAATCATTTCTGTTCAGGATATTTAAAACATTTCTAACAAAAATAAAATGAACTTCAGTAAAACAAAGATGGATGTTTCTACGTGGGCTCCTGAAGCCATGATTTAATCACAGAAACCAGAACAGCGTCGTCTCTCTGCACCACAGTTTACTTCAGGTCCAGTCACTCGGTGGCCCGTCAGCTCTAAAGCATAACCTTCATGAACGAAATCAAGTCCTTTTGATGCATTAAAACCGTCAGAACCAGGACTAACGGACTGAAACACAGCTTCTGTCCAACTGCTGTCAGAGCCATAAACGCCTCTTTAAGTGAAGTCTGTTGGTGATATGGGACGGCCTCTGTCCAATATCCACTGTGCTCCAGCTTATTGTTTAATTTCTTCTTTTTTTATGTATCCCAGCTGACTCAGAGTGAAGGCAGGTTCACCTGGACAGGTAACCAGTCTATCACAGGGCTACACTTAGAGACAGACAACCAAGCACACTCACATTCACACCTACGGACAATTTACAATCACCAATTAACCTCAGCATGTTTCTGGACTGTGGGAGGAAGCCGGAGAACCCGGCGAGAACCCACGCTGC